CAACGTGGTGAAACCCCACCTCTACTAAAAATACAAAAATTAGCGAGGCATGGTGGTGTGTACCTGTAATCTCAGCTGTTCAGAAGGCTGAGGCAGGAGAATCGCTTGAACCCGGGAGGCAGAGGTGGCAGTGAGGCAAGATCATGCCGCTACACTCCAGCTTGGGTGATAGAGTGAGAGTCTGCCTCAAAAAAGAAAGAAAAAGAAGATGAATTAGGAGCACTGAGCCTTGGGTACTCTCATATGGAGCTGTCTGGAGGAGAAGGAGGAAGCAGGAGGGTGTGAAGCCAAGGAAATGAGCAAAAGTGGCCTCTTAAAGGCCTGGAAAACGTGCTTCAAGGAGGGTGGTCAACAATGTCAGGCCCTGCCAAGGGACCGAGGAAGCTGAGCACCCATAACTGGCCTTTGGATTTCCCAGCATGGGGCTGACCGGCAGCCTAGTGCCTGAGCAGCTCCAGGTCGTGTGTCGTAGGGTCAAAATACTAATGGAAGTGGGCTCAAGGAAGGGAGAGGTGAAGACACAGTGGACATGGGGAACACAGACAGCTTTTCTGAGGGCTTGTGTGTGATGAGAAGCAGAGATACTGCAGAAGATGCAGGGGGATATAGTTCAGAGATCGTTTTCAATGTGGCTTCACTTTGTTTTGGACAGGAGGTTTTATAACATGTTGGCAGGTTAATGTAAGCAGTGAGAAAGTTATGATGAAGAGGAAAGGGGAAGTCAGGAGAGGTATCCTTGTGCAGGTGAGGACTGCTGTTCTCCACGTCTCAGGTGCTGGGTGGTGGGGAGGGAGGCGACAGCAGCCAGAGTGCATACAGATTGGATGGGTGAGTGTATGAGAGGTAAAGCTTGTGAAAACTCTCTTCTTTTTTAACTTTTACATTGAAGGGTACATGTGCAGGTGTGTTGTGCAGGTGCGCTCGTGTCTTTGGGGTTTGTTGTGCAGATTAGTTCATCCCAGGTATTAAGCCCAGTACCCATTAGTTACTTTTCCCGATCCTCTCCTCCTCCTACTCTCCACCTTCCGACAGGCCCTAGTGTGTGCTGCTCCTCTCTATGCGTCCATGTCTTCTCATCATCTAGCTCCCATTTATAAGTGAGAACACGCAGTGTTTGGGAAAACCCCTCCATCATGCTTCCTTTCATTCTGTGACAGAGGAAGCCAGATCACGAGCTGTGAGTTGACAAAGGAGAGGAGGAAGAAAGCTGAAGGAGAGAGAATCAAAGTGTAGAACAAGCCTCCAGGAGGAGCAGAGCAAGCACAAGGGCTGAGTAGGATCAGGCAGCTATGAAGACCTGCTGGAGGTTGGTATTATGAATTTTGAGAGTGGACAGCAAGAAAGAATTGTTTCTAAGCTCTGATCAGCTTTAGAGGTGCAGAGGCTGGGTGGACTGAGTGAGACTTGGCTGGAGAAGTTTAAACAGCAGTTTGAAGGGCGCCAGCTGCGTCCTTCATTCTAAGCCCAGGGCTCTTTCCACTCAGCTGCCAAGTCCGCAAGCACCCCTTGCCACCCCAGTCCCCTCCATTCGTAGCAAGAATAGGAGGCTTAGGGGTCCAGAGGCTTCATCTATGGCTTCACTCAGCTTTATTTCTGTTTGGTTTCATGGGCCAAGAGGTAGACACAATTCCTTATGTTCTTACCTGGAGCAGGGCAATGGCCTTGAAATCTGAGAGCAGCTAAGATGGGAACCATAGGGCTAGGCTCTTAACTTGACCAGAGGCTGCCGCCCATGGCCTGGTGCTGCCTTGCAGCCAGAAGAGTCAGCTCACTCATCAAGTGGGAGGTAACCCTGAAAGGGCATATGGAGCTTTCTTCTAGTGGGGGATGCCTAGGAGCATCCACCTGAGGACAGCTGAGGACTTAGCCATCTCCAGCTTGCTCGGCTCAGTGGATACACAGCCTGTGTGGTAGGTCCCAGCCTTCCCTGCACATACCTGGTGGCTGGGCCAGAGCTCTCCCCAGCTGACTGGTGTTCAGTCATCTCTCCACAGGTGACGCTGGGCAGGCAGGGTGGATGCTGCATGGGTCCTGTGTGCCTTATGTGGGGAGAGGGTTGGGGAGTTCCTCTGGGTCTTTGATTGATCCTAATGGGTAGCAGCAGGACTAGGGAATCTGTGTGATCTAAATCAGCATTCCTCAACCCCCAGGCTGCAGGCCAGAAGGGGCCCATGGCTTAACTGGACTGCCCAGCAGGACGTGAGGGGTGGGTGAGGGAGCATTACCACCTGAGCTCCGCCTCCTGTCAGATCAGCAAGGGCATTAGATTCTCCTAGGAGTGAGAACCCTGTTGTGAACTACGTGTGTGAGGGACTTAGGTTGTGCGCTTCTTAGGAGAACCTAACTCACGCCTGATGCTGTGAGGTGAAACAGTTTCACCCCCAAACCACACTCCCCCGACCCTGCACTGTCCGTGGAAAAACGCTTCCATGAAACTGATCCCTGTGCCAAAATGACTGGGGATCGCTCATATAAATGGTCTTTCATCAGAGCTGGCTAATTGACCTTGGTGATGATTATTTGAGTATAAAAGCAGAAATCTTCATTTTAGCTCCAAGGGGATTTACTTGGAACACAGAACCCAAGGCGGGAGTGCAGCCAGACCTCACCAGCGACCAATGCCCTCTGAGGTTCTCTAGGCCCTCCGTAGGCAGCCACAGGTTGCTTCCCTCTAGGGTGCCCTGGTCTTACATCCCTACTTCTGTCTCTGAATCTGTTTCAAGCAGTGTGTGGGGGGGCTCCCTCTGCTTCTGCCTCCTGGCGGCCCACACTCCAGAGTGCCCAGTCCTTAGTTGCGGGCACAGAGAAAGGGGGCAAAGCCCAATGCTGTTGAATCACAGCCCTGCATTCCTGTGACAGAAAATCAGATTGGCTTGCAATGCACATCTGGTGTCCACTTCATGCAATCAGCTGTGCTGAGGGGACCCCATCACCATGGGGGTCCCAGCTTTCTCCGTTGTGTTGTGCCTCCCACGAGTGATGGGAGATAGGAGGCTGAAACCCAGTGCCCTGTGCCCCCCATGCCAGGCTCCCTGTGTGAACTGACCCCTGGCTTCTAGAATAAGCCCCCTCTCCAATTCACAGGAGTACACCACCTGGGCTCTCCATGCCAGCCCTCATGGGCTCAGTAGACCACCCCTCCAAAGAATTCACTTTTCTCAGGTCTCACCTTCACCAGCGCTTTTTAAGGGAGTCCTCTCTGATGCCTATGTTAGGGGTCTTTTCTACTTTAAGCTTCCCTGATGCCTGAATGCACCATACTACATGAAAATACCCACTTGGGCCAGGTGCAGTGTCTCATGCCTATAATACCAGCACTTTGGGAGACTGAGGCAGACAGATTATGAGGTCAGGTGATCGAGACCATCCTGGTCAACATGGTGAAACTTTGTCTCTACTAAATATACAAAAATTAGCTGGGCCTGGTGGGGCGCGTCTGTAGTCCCAGCTACTTGGGAAGCTGAGGCAGGAGAATCACTTGAACCCAGGAAGCAGAGCCTGCAGTGATCTAAGATAACACCACTGCACTCCAGCCTGGGTGACAGAGCAAGCCTCCTTCCATCTCAAAAAAGAAAGAAGAAAAACACCCACTTCGTTGCACTGTAGCTGCCAGACTGCAGGCTCCGTGGAGTCAGAGTAAGCGTGTCTTGCTCCCACACTCCTGCGGTGCAGGAGTGGCATCACAGCTATTGTTGGCTGAGTAAATGAGGGCAGGGTGCAAGCATGCCAAGGCTCAGACTTTCTGATCCCAGGTCATTTTGAAGGGTCAGCCCGTTGTTAATTTCTGGTGCCAGGACAGTGGTGTGGTGTGCTGGAGATAGAGGGAATGCTACCCAGTGACTTCTCCCCATCCTTTAGCTGAGGGGCAGGCTCAGCTTCTAGGGCACTTCCTGCTGCAATGGTCTCTGTGCTGTTAAGGGGCTCAGCACAGGCAGATGTGGGTCTTATTCCAGCTCTGTGGACCCCAGGAAACAGGAGGTGGGGAGAGGGAGCAAAATGGGGAACTTTTGGGGTGGAGGGGTGGGCTTTGTCCTGTCCCTCCAAAGTTAGCTGATTCCACACACTCTCCCAGACTAATCTTCTCAACCCTTGGCAGTAATAAGCTTTGGTGTTGTAGCTGGGAGACTGGAGCTTGGAGAGATCAAGGGATGTGTCTCAAATCACAGATGGAGCAGAGAGTGAATGGTACTCAAGCCCCAGTCTACTGATCTTCACCCCTGCACAGGTCCCCTGACACCACGCGGCCCTTCCTGGCCTGCTCTAACCCTTCTCCCTTCCGCAGTTCATCTGCAACTTAGCACCCACATCATGGCCATCCCATTAAGTAACGGGGAGGTTTGGCATGGGGTGATGTGATTACATCTGGACCAATGGGGAAGAGGACTCTCCTTTCCAACAAGGTTGACTGTGGATGACACAGAATGTGCTAGAGAGTGTTAAGGGCTGACTTCTGTGAGGACCAGAGCCTGTCTGCTGGGCTCATCTCCTATGCCCTTTGGCCAAAAAAGTGCTCGCTGGCCATTTCTACATGAAAGAATTGTGTCTGGCTTCCAGCAGGGCCCCTGTGCAGAGCAGGAAACACACAGAGAGCTGGTCCTCAGCAATTGCCATCACAGCCAGACTTCTGTTGCATTCTCCCAGGACTAAGAAGTGCAGAGTGGAAGTTTCCTTCCTTACAGCTGTCAGGAAATACCTAGGACCTTTGCACAAAACCATCGCCTGTGGAGTGGAGGACAGTCTGGCCTTTCAGAAGCAATTCTAACAAAACCCAGGACTCTCAAAGAAAAGGGAGCACCTTTCCCTGCTAAGGATCAGCTGTCCAGGAAAGGCAAGTATGCCTCCAGAATTCTCATCTGTGATTAGCATGATTACAATGGCCTGTTTTCCACGAACCACTGTAGCCAGGATTCCAAAACCCTTAGGGTTGGGTGTAAGGGGAAAAAAAGGACATCCAGAGAATTCCAAATAGTAACACTAATTTCAAACTGTTGGTGGCTATGTTTGAATACAGATCTTTATTAGGAAAATTATAAGTGCATATACATTTTTTCATTGGTATGTCTTCAAAGTAGAAATTGTTATTTCTCCAAGAATTGTTTCTTATTTATTTATTTTTAAAGCACACTGCATATAGGAATCGGCCTTCTCCTGGACCATTTTCACATTATCTGGGAGATGCAATGGAAACAATACAAAATACAGTATTCATCACATTTAACACTGAACCTTTTATTGCTCAGAGACCGAGAGTCCAGCGAGGTTGCAAAATAACACATTTTCAACATGGTTTTGTCACCTTGGCCATGTCAGTGGTCTGCTTAGGGAATTTGGAGGTTTCTAGAGAGCATTTCCCAGAAATGGGGCTCCTTCAGAACAGGTCAGGGAAGCTCTGTAGAAGGATCAGAGCACTCAAATTCTCATCCTGCTGGAAAAGGGTGTAGCACTTGGGAAAGGCAATCAACTCCCAGTCAGGGAGCCCATGGTGATAATGACAGAAGATCACACCACGAAAGGATCAGATAAGATCCAAGGGAAAAACAGAATATCTAAGGCTGGGGGTTGGGTGGGGGGCTGCAACCTTGGCTATTTAGCCCCTCTGCTCAAAGCTGAACCTTTTTTCTCAGCAGGTAATCTCAAATAACAAGCAGAGGGCTCTCCGGGGCTTCCTCGCTGGCATCTCAGTGCCCGGCCAGAGGGGGACACACAACAGCACAAACACATGGCACAGACTCGATCCCAACATACAGCCTGTCTGTGAGCCCCAGCCCCTTCCTCTGGGTCCTGACGCAGAGCTGGCAGCAAGGGCCTCCCTGGAGGTTACAGGGAGCCCAAGGGAATGTCAGGTAGAGGCAGAACCAGGTCCCAGAGGGACAGCTGAGCTATCCCTAGTCAACCCTTAGCTGATGCGCTTGACCAGCAATTTGAAAGTAAAAAGAGACTCAATTACAAGAGACTTTTCCCTTGCAAATGGAAGAGTGTATTTAAATGCGTATTGCTTTAGCTGGGAAGTGTCTACCAAGGAGCTGATTGTTAGTAGAGGAATTGTTATGCAAATAATGTTCCCTGCAGTTTCTACTCTTATCTATTTTCGCCCATGGAGGAGAAACAGAAATGATTCCTTCCCTGACTGTAGTCAAGATTTAGGGTCAAGTTTGTTTCCTCGGCCAAAAATTCAATGGTCTTGGTTCATGGGGGCAGGTACGTACAAGTTCTTATGTGACAGATTTTTAAATATCTTGGTTTACCTAGATAATGACTGCCCCACTGAAAACTCAATTATACTGCTATAATGGCAGGTTAATTTCAAAAGGTTTTGAAAGAGTTCTGTATCTTTATAACTAGTAAAGATCCCTCAGGCTCTATTTTTTCAATATAACATAGCTGGATTGAGGATTTTAATTTTTGTTTAAGGGACAATTTTGGTGGATGAGTTTGCTTTCTGCCATGAAGATCCAACTAGAAATATTTTTGAAAATACTTAACATGTTACTAATTACCCTACAGATGATTAAATTCAAAAGCATTTACAATTCAAGATCACGTCACTATATTACTTCCTACACGTTACATCAGTTTCCTTGTTTTGACTTCCTTGTTTTCCACTTTCTTCATTAACTGTTTTTTTAAACTGTGGAAAAGTATTAGTAAGACTGAATGAAAAACGTAACCAAAAAACCCTCAAGTGCTTGCCTTTGTCAAAAGCGAACATTTTAAGTGGTTTCCTGCAGCTCTACTGACTGCCCTCAGTGGAAGGGGAGCACTCCAGAAGTCTGGGGGGTTGACTTACTCTTCACATCGCACATGGTTCTTTTACAGGAATGTCCTGCGGGAAAGGCTGGAAGCACAGGTGACATGCAGCAGCAGAGAGGGCCCAGGGAGGAAGGCAGGAGATGACGGTGTTGCCAAATGGTGAAGAAGATGAGGTTAGATGTGAATTGGGAGGAAATCTTCATGGGTTTTAAAAACCAAAAAACAAGTTGCAAATGCTTGTTTTCCTCAAGCAGTGCTGGGCTTGGCCCCAGTTTGAAGGTACTGACAAGTGAGGGAGCACTGAGGGGCAGCCATCCTCTGGGGTCAACTCTGGCGCACACTGAATTCCCTTGGGCTCTGCCCATGGACCCACTATGGCTTTGTCATCTGTGGGGGAACCAAGGCAGTTCACCCCAAAGGACCATGGCTCCGATCAGGACCACACTCAAAGGGACCAAGGGGCATCACCTTGCTCAACAGCTGCATAGGGGGAACAGTTCATGCACCAAGACATTGTTCACGGAGGATGCTGGCTTTGAACAAAAACACAGGATTGGACAATGGACAATATTCCAAACAAGACACACATGTGCACAGTGTTTTCAGGTAACACAAGACATTTTCATTTCCTGCTTGGTGCACAGTTTACATGAAAGCTTTGGTCCTGAGAGTCCTTTTGCGGGGCCATGGAGACAGTCTTGGACATACATGATGATGGATGAGACACAGAATGATGAGTGGAACATGGCGGATGTGGAGGTGCTCAGGATGAGGGCTGGGTCTCACTCTGCCCTAGCCTCACACTGTTGCCTCAGCTCAGGGGAGCCCTGTCACCCTCCCAGAAGAAGCAGACCTGGCTCCCATGTGGATGGAGAAGAGGGTGAACCTCATGTATGGCCCTCCACCATCCCATCCCACAGAGAACAGGCTTTGCCCAGGCTAACTGGTCCTGGCACCCCCAGGCATCCCTCCTGGTGGCTCTCTACCCTAGGGCTGACCATGCGGGCAAGGCTCTCTCAACCCAGGCTCCTGGCCTGCACAGCTCAGAGTACAAAACCCAGTAGCCCTGAGTCAGAGGAGCCGCTCCATGGAAAGACACTCTATTAAGGCAAGTACAATAATGGCCTTAGGCTAAGCTCCTATGTGTCACCAGTGATATTGGATAATCAAACTAAATGAAAAATAAATGTCATATATTTTGCTACATAACCAAATGGTGAAAATATGGCAAAGTGTGCAAAACAAAGCCCTTGGCAATGCCTGGGGCCCTGCCCTGGCAGGGGAGGCTGTGGCGGGCCCTTCCCTAACACTGGTTTCAGAGCTGGGCTCCTACTGTAAGGGTTCCTCAGGCGTCTGACCCTCTCACATCTTGAACCTCCTGTTGACAAGAACAGAGGGAAACACCATTAAGGCAGGTTCCCCCCACACCCAGCCGGCTCCAGCAGGGTGGCTGCCTGCGCAGAGACCCTGGGGCCGCTCCGTACTTCCAAGTCGCCTTCTTGGCCATGCATCTCCCTTCAGAGACCCTGGGACAGCAGAGGGGAGGGGAGTGCGAGACGCAACCAGGCTGAAGCAGAGGGACCGATGGAAAGCAGGAAGCAGAGAACTGACACGAAGCAAGCACTGGGCGTGGCAGACACACGAAGGCACAGAAAGGCCCGTCAGAACAGTCACACGACGGGGACAGGGCACACTGCTTACTTGGCAGTGGCGTGGGGCTGAGGCTCAGGATGCTGCTGCCCTGCATCTTGGCCTCAGCCCTCCCAAGAGGCACTTCCATGGCTTCCAGCAACCCCTCGCCCTCCAGGTCTCTCAGCCAGGTGCCATGCCACTGCAGGTGGCCCCAGGTGGGGCTGCTAGAGGAGGCACAGGGGTGGGTGCATGGGCTGCCAGGACCTCCCAGGAGGAACGCATGCTGGACCGAGCAGTGACCATGGTGCACCTCTCATTTGGTGCTGACAGGCATAAGCACTTCCTACTTTCAACCCACCAGGTATCCCCGTCGGGCTCTTCGCTCTTCCATGGCGACCCTGTCTTCAGCAGTGGGCGTACCACCTGCTCCCAGGAGCTTCATAAGCCACTTGTAAGCCACAGTGAGGCCCCAGGGGCCCATGCAGTCACATCAAGACATCAAGACAGGATGGACCTTGCATACGTTCTCAAGAATGCCCGCTCTCAGTCCCGGCAGACCCTGCTCCCCAGGAGTGGGATGGGTGGCAGGATTGCTTGTCACTGCAGCAAGCAGTTTGTATCCTTAGGCAGCCTTAGCTGGGCCCTCTGTTCCTAGAGGGCCAACAGCTCTTCATGCTGACTAGGACAGAGGGCCACCCCTCCCCAGGCACAGAGCCCTGCTGCATGTGGAGACTGAAGAAAGCAGGTGAGCATGGGGCCACAGATTGGCCCTCTCAGGGCGTTTCTGTCAGAGTCCCATGGACAAGAGTGACTGATAGCTTCCACGGGAAGGGCAGCAGCCCCAGGAAGCCCATCTGAGAGCCCTGTGCCTTAAGAAGTGAGGAGGGCAGGGAGACTAGGGTACCCCTGTACCCAGGGCTCAGGCCTGGGACCCCCAGTGCTGACGAGAAGAACGTGGGCCAGGAGAGTTGTCCAGAAAAAAGGGATAGCAGCGGGAAACAAAGGTCTTTGGCTGCAGCATCCTAGGATGCCTTGCCAAGGAGGAGAAGGCATGGCTGTGGTCACAGGGAGCTCATTAAAGCTCAAGGGGACACAGCGCTCCTGGATGGGGGGTGTCTGACATGCAGGGTCCTGGTGGGTTTTCTCCTGAATTCCATTTGCCTGATCATCCAACCACTTCCTCTTTCTGCATTTATCAAAATTATGACCCAGGATGGGGGCGCAGGGTGGGCAGGTGTTTATCTGAGGTGGAGGAGAGCTGAGAAATTCACGGCATCTTTTTTCAGAGCACTACTGAAATTGGGGCCTTGCTCTTCCATCCTCCCAGTCCAGATTAGACAAACTTGGCAAAAAAATCTCACACATACTTCTACAGGGGCAGGGGAGGAGGGTGCAGGAAAGTTCTAGAGCTTAAGTGGTATTTCCCATGAATGAGGACTGAGGCAGCTGTGCCCTGCAGCCGGAGCACATGCCATCATGCAGGAGGCAGGAGGGGACAGGCTGGAATCCCCAGGGATTCAGGCCTCTTGCAAAGTTCTATAGCACATCTGTCCTCCACGTGGGGGACCCGTTTAAAGACTCTAAAGATAATTGCCCAAAGAGGAGCTCCCTGAGAAGTGTTTCCACATCTGCTCTCTGAGAATGCAGCATTCCGTCTGGCTCACCCCACCCAGTCTGTAGAAACCCACTCAGGCTTGGGGGTAAAGCCACTCCCACAACCCAGGAAGGAGTGGCTGAAGAAGCCCCTTCCCAGGTGGCAGAGTGGTGGAGGGTAAGGCAATGGGCATTTGGAAAAAGCTAGGGCCTGGCCCTAAGGGCAAGTCAGTTTCCACCTGCGCCAAAGGCCATAGAAGGGTGGTACACCCACTTCCTGGCCAGTCTGCTGGGCTAGCAGACTGCCCTGAATGCTGGCCAGGTGGCCACAGCCTGGTCTTCACAGGAATGCAGACTGCAAGTGTGTGGAGCTGGTGAGCTCCCCAGCGAGCGCAGGCCTTCTAAGAGAGGGAGTGGAGGGTGGGCGGGGGGCTCAGCAACCTGAGCATTCCTGGAGATCCCAGGCTATTCTGGAGTGTCCTCAGCACACAGGCTCTGCATCACAGACCCCCATCCCCAGTGTCTGCACAACTACTTTCTTCATAACTTAGCAGACCAATAAGGGCCTTAAAAAGCACATAAATACAGGAGCCGATATGGCTGGCGGGGTGGCAGAGTGCTGCTCCCCCACGGAGGTCTGAGCCCCTGCCCAGTCTGCATGGGGGTCTGTCCTGGAGGAGGATCGAGCAAATTTACAAAGCGCCGAGAGCAAGTGCATTGCAGTCCATCTCGAGGTGGCAGATAACTAGTTTTTCCTTTTCTGGGCAGCCTTTCTCTTCTTCTGTCGCTTCTTTTTTCCTATCTTTTCTTTTTTCCCCACTTTTTCTTCTCTGCGCCCCCTTAGATAAAATTAGTAGAACCATTAATAATGTGGAAATGAACAAAAGTTCGTCTCAGTCTGCATAAGATTTAACACTGGCCCGAATACCAGTTAAACTGTGTCTTCGGTCTCAGGTGTGGAGGCCCCTGGCCAAAGCACTGGTTGTCAGTAATTCATTAAGATAAATTGGACATTTCCTTCCATTCAAACTAATTTTCAATGGGATCCTAGAACACCTTTGTGAATGGGTTACAGCGACCACCAATCTGCCAACCTGAGCCTGGTTCCTACTGGGGACAAGGAATCCATATCACAGGGTACACCCGGGGCCAGGCTGGCCATCATGGTCTTTGTTCCACTGCCCTGCCCTGCTCCCATGAGATTTTTCCTCCTTCTCAATGCAGGCCTGAACTCTCAGCTTTCTCTGAGAAATGTCTGCATTTCAAATTGAACAACATTTTGGAGGCGGAAGTCCCCAGGTTCAGACTGCCATTCAGAAGAAGAGAAAGAAGTCAGTGGTCCCACCTTCTCCTTTCTAGATGCCTGTGAACACCCCCAGGAGTGACTGCGATTGTTCTGGAGAGCAAGGGAGAGAGATGGTTAGCAGAATTTTATTAGAGCAACTGGCTCGTGACTGTCACATTAAAATGATTCAAGCTGAATGGTATTTAATGATTTATGGGGTGAGGCCACCTGTCCCTGTGAAAGCTTGATATTAACCATGGCCTGGAGTCATGGGATTTTTACATGGGAAAATGTGAAAGCTTGATATTACTAGGATTGAGTCTCTGGGGATTACATGGGGATGTTAGGAGAACCAAGGAGGAGGAGGGAAGGAAGAGGAATTAGTGAGTCAAATATTATTCTTCAGAAAACCGGCACTGCTATTTCAATTGGGTTAGAAAAAAAAAAAGATGCAAAAACTTGAACTGCAGATCTAATCTGCTCGTGAGAAAAGCCCATACACTGGGTCACACATGGACTGTGAGAAGGGGTCTCAGGCACCTGACCACAGGCAGGCTGAACTGTATAAACCAGAAACATCTATGAGCTCCATCACTAACAACTAGTAAGTTTTATTTCAGGTAAACAAATTCCCACATACAGTAGGAGGTTTATACCATGAAACAATTAGCATTTTATTGCTAGTGCATATAATGTCACATTTGATACAATTTTAGTACAAGTGAAAAAATACACTGTGGCTAACATTGAAAAGTTGCAAACACATTTATATATCATATATATTTCTTTACAAATTGCCAGTAGTTTGATATAATAGAGAAGTGTGAACTACTGACATTCGTATGGCTCCACTTCAAATATATGAATTGTTTGACTATAAATATATTCTGAAATACATTTGTATTCTAAAGAAACGTAAAAAAAAGTGCACAAAAATATATATAAAAAAATGCCTTGCAAAAAGTTACAAATACCACCAGGACCATCTGTGGATCGCATTTATGCATGGAAATGTCATCTTGCCAACAGTTCTGACTGGAACCTGAAACCCTGCTGTGGCTTCAGGAGTGGGTAGTGGCAAGATGCTGGTTTATTCACTCATTTTTTTCACTTCTGATTTCAGAAACCTCAGAGTTTGTAGTGCCTCCATGGCATATGTAGGCTTCAGAGGCAATCACAAAACCAAATTGCTCAAAGTGAGCCCTCTGATTTAAAACTGCATTTCATTCTGCAGAGGCTTGTCTTTTGTGGGTAAGCAGGGGGACTATCACATGTCCCCAGGAGAGGGCCAGCTCCATTCTGGAGGAGGCCAAAGACGGATCTCACAGAGGGCCCAAGCTGGCAGGGGTAGGCCCTGGGAAGAGGAATGCAGGGCACGAGCCCCAGCTACACCCTCCTCCGGGCCGGTGCGGCGCTGATCAGGCTACAGAAATGAGAAGCAGAAGCGGGATTAAGCATGCTCTTGGAGGTAGGGAGAGGGTGGGAATGGTTGGGAGAGGGGTCTCTGAGCACAGTCCCAGTGACAGTGGCTTCTACATGGAGCCCACATAGACAATCGCTGAAGTTGAAAGAGGAGGTGAAGGTGGTGACAGAGCTCAGCCCTGGTCGGTATCTGAGTACCACAGGGGCCTTCCTCTTGGGAGGGGTACCACTGTGGGAGCCTCCCCAGCATTTGGAGGAAGGACACTTTTTCCAGCTCCCTGCTGAGCTGCCACCTGACTGTGCCCAGACTCCCCAGGGGAGCAGAGGAGAAGCTCCAAAACAAGCCAAATACAGATCTTGAAGTAATCGTTGATTTAAAAAATGAGAATGAGAATGATGATGATTGTGATGATCATGAAGGAACTGACTGCTGGGAAATACTGTGGATAATACAATTTCTTAGAAAAGCCCCAGTAATAAAAGCTCCAATGTGCATGGGTACGGGGCATGGATGAATACAAGCTGCGATATCGTACCGTATGCTATAAATGCAGTGTCTAAGTGCTGGCAAACCTCAGGCTCGATCCCAGAACAACATGCCCACCCCACACACACACCGGGTCCTCATGAACCAGGGCCCCTCCCCCACATCTTTGCCCTTTCATCTCTCACAAGGTTTTAGCTTTCCTCAAGTGGGTCTAGCAGAAAGTCCTTTTTGGCTGTTGTGCTTACTTGTTTAAAGCTTTCTCCAGGTACTCCTGAATCCACTTTAGCTTCGGGTCAATGCACACTTGTCTGTTGTTGTTCTTCAGCCGTGCCCTGCAGAAACAGAACGGCGATAGTGTGCAGCTGCACCGGAGGAAGGGGCGGCTGCGACGTGCGGGTCCGCAGCCCCAACACCCATCCCGGGCCCTCACTGGCGCCCTGTGCTCCACTTGGCATGCTCAGGCTCCAGAGGTGCTCGGTGTGCTGGGGAATGCTCGGCGCTGGCAGCGCAGGAAGTTCCATGGCAGAGACATGGAAATGTGAACAGAAGCCTTTCCGGGGCAGTGCAGGGGGAATTCATGGAAGCCAGCATTTGAGCTGCCTTTGAAAGATAAGTAGGAGCTTGGAGAGTAAATGAAGGGGAAGGGAAAAGCAGGAGCAAATATGCCAGGGAGGTCATCAGAGCACACAGAGGACACTGAAGAAGCGGGGACAGGATGCTCTAGGCACCTGTGGAGGAGAGAATGGAGAGCAACAGAGCAGAGGTTTATTCGGATGGGTCATCTTGACCGATGTCATCTTGACACAGGCGGATTTAAAAATGGGCGTGAGAAAGCCTGGAGGCAGGAGGCCTGCCAGAAGTTATGGCAGTCTGCCGAGAGGGTGACCAGCCAGGGAGGGGCGGGGCAGTGCAGGTGGCTTAGCAGAAAATAGTTTCTAGAAAGATTTTACAAGTTCACTGAATGTTTCTTGATCTCATTTGTTTTTTAAAAGTTCACATTTTTAAAAGTGTCCCTACACAAAAATTCCTGTGGAGAGCCTGGATTCATCTTTCTGGATCCCTCGCCCCAATGCCCTAGGTGCCAGGCAATCTCACAAAACTCAAAAACGCCCCTGCCCAGCCACTTAAGGGTCTCTGAGGACAGCTAAGCCCCAGTACAGTGGTTCAGGGGCACCCAGGGAGTCTTCAAGCAGCCTGTACATTAGGTGAAGGAGGTGTGCACTCAGCTCCCCACCCCTGCGTGGGTGTGGCTTGGAGCAGCACACATTGGGGTGCAAATGTGGGCCCTGCCACTTGTCAATTTAGTGTCTGCTCAGACCTGAGAATTGTGTTTGGCATCTTCAACTTCAAAGTGCCTTTCCAGGCCAGCAGACCAGCATGATGGGAGCTGTAAAGCAGGTCCATGCTAGCTAAATTCAGTATCTTTAAATACTCTTCACAAGACATAGAGTCTTACGTTGCAGGCAAAGTACTAAAAAGACATTAATTAGTCTTCTAGGGCCCTAAAACATACAGTAAATAACAAACGCATTCAAGACACCAGAGGCTTAAATCAAAACTGAAAATAGTCTTCTAAAATCAAAACTGAAAATAGTTGTGTTTTGGATGGAAAAGTCTTTGGGAAGTTATAGCTTTGGTTCCAACTCTGTGTCCCCACCCCATTTTTAGAACTAGGACTTTTGAGCAATCAAATCCTCTCCAGGAGACTCCCTGAGCCCTCACCTCCCGGTGTTCAGACACAGGACCTCTTAGAATGAGAGGGCCAAGCTATTGGATTTCCAGCACATGGCTTTCTTCCTGCACTTCTCCCAGTCTTCTGTACCCAGCTGAAATCTGTCTTGTGGATGTGTGATTTTGGTCGTTCTTGTTTCCCAGATGAACGAAATCAAATGTTAGCGGCTGCCATCCACATCAAATAACACCAAAACCTCATATGCTGTACTTGAGAAAATGCAGGTAAGTGAGCTGAAAATGTTGAAGTTTCACTCAATGGTTAAAGAGGACTTAAACTGAACTTGGGTCTTGTGAGTTAATGTAGAGCATAAGATCCCCAAAACTGGCAAGATAGATATTACTGTTACTAGTTAAGGACTAGCTAGTTTACTAGGCTTCAGCCAAAACCTTGGTGAAGCCATAGTTTCTCCGGCATCCAGCAGTGCTGTGCTGAAGAATGGAGGTTTAGAAAGAAAAGAGAACTACTATGGGCACAGCAGGGTGCCCAGATCAAGGGCAGCTTTTAAAACTCATGCCTGGGGTCATACTAAAAGTCCTCATGGGAAGAATAGCTGCCACTAATGATGCCAAGTTCAAGACTGGACCCTTGGCTTACATCACTTCTACACCATTAACAAGAATCGAGTTAGATGTTACTATGTTCATTAGATGCAATATCCCTAGGGGATGACATTCAAGACTTACACAATCTGAAGGGCACAGTTTGGAGTGTTGAGAATTTTGAGATGCTTGACATTGGCTCTGGCAACATGGCTTTCAAAGAATCGGCATGGGCATCTGTAGCTCAGGCTGACGGGCTTCCCTAGAACGGGTAAGGAGAACAAAGCAATTTACTACCCTGGAGATTTTGGTCACGTGTGTCTGGGTCTACAGCAGTTGGTACAGCAATGAAGGATCAAAAGACCGCATCACTGGGGTGAGTTTCAGGTTACGGGTGCATTCTGGGAAAGGCTATCTCCTCAGGCAGCACAGTGAGTTCTGGCTGAGCTCAGGCTCAGCTTCTACAAGACAAGGAGACCAAAAGGCCTGGGGAGAGCCGGACCCTAAGAGGGTAAGGGGATTAAATTAGAAGCCACCTGATAGCAATTATAGGAGATAATGGTTTCGGTCCAAGGTACTGAGATTCCCAGTTACTCTTTATCAAATACATTGCTCAAGGGAAAACTGAGAAAGATCTCTCTACTCAGGGAAAAGGAAGGGGGACCAAGAGGCTCCAGGCTCCCTGGCCTCTCTCCTCTGGCACTGGCCTCTTAGCCAGGAAGCACAGTAGCATTCAGGAATGCTGCCCTCCGCCCCGCCCCCCACCCCCCTTCACATTCACCTTAAGCCCTGGAAAGCACAAAAGAATCCTGGCTGGCTTCCTACCTGCGAGTCCCCTGAGAGCCCCTGGAGAGCAGGCCTAGGGCCCACCACTTCCCTCAAGGCTTGGAGATTAGTGGAGCTGGAATCAAATGTGGTTTTCATTGCCTGGGCAGGGATGCTGTAGCCTCAGGAATTGTATTAAGATCTTTGCAAAATCACCAATTTACAAAATGCCATAATTGACACTCATTAGTGTAAATTAGCAAGGGGCTCCTGCAGAACTCACCACTCACCCTTCAAATCTAGAATTGCAAGCCCTGGAGGGCTGGAATTTGTGTGTGCTTTTTGTTTTCTAGGTTTTTTTCCCTTGCAGATTTTATCCAAGCCCCATTTAATATTCCAAATTATTTGAATTTGTGGATCCTTTCATCAGAGTGTCAATGTAGGTCTGAGAACATTTAGTCCAGAGATTTTTTTTAAGTTTGCTGTTTACAGAGTTCTGAGAGGTCTCTGTGATTCTGAAGTTCTGAACGTTTGGGAAAGAACGCTGGAGAAGTAGGAGGAAATATTGAGGGGCTCATTTTGTTTTTTTCTACATGCTGCAATCAATTGAGGGATGATGTGGCCTAGGAACAGTAGTGTGTATTTAGCCACCAAGTTGGATCAAAAGCAGACCAGCTGTCCCCCTATCTCCTTGCTCCCAGGACCAAATGCAACTCCCTGAAAACCAGGAGAAAGGGGGGCATCAGGGTGCTGGTGACTCATGGTACTGGAGAGACCCGGAACAGCCTTCACGTTTATACCTGATCTAACTCCAGAAAGGCACCTCTGGGGCCAGCTTCCTGCAACTGCCCTGGGACCCTGCAGGGGAAGTCAGCACTGCACTGTAACCAGATCACCTGGGAAAGCTATCCCAGGGCCAGGGCCCGGAAGCTAAACTCTCCTCTGAGTGTTGTGCCTCCAGGTTTCCCTGGATTTCTTTTGGGCCCTTCTGAGCTGAGGGAGGGGGTGGGTTGGGGGTGGAGCAGGAGAATAGGAGCCCGGTAGTGAGGCACAAGCCCCCACCCTGAGCTACGGTGAGCTGGAACGTATGCAGCCAAGTGCAAGTGCTGCAGCCACCCCCGCTGGGGTGGCTCTCCAGTGCCCAGAAGAGAGAAGCTCCTCTGGCCCCCATAACCAAGCAGTGGTGATCAGGCCAGAAATCAGAGCCTATTCGGAGCTCAACACACAGGCCCTCACTCCTCTCCCCCTCCACCTCCTGGGATTATCCATTTCCTTCAAAAGCAATTCTTGTTTCTACTCCCAGAACCTAAGGCCAGGCTGTCAAGCAACAAATTGCAACAGGTCTTTTTAAAGTGACAGAGCACCCAGGTGTGCTTACCAAGAGAAGCGGGCTTCGTGAGGACCTCTCGTGCTCTTTCCTCCAGCTTTTTGTCAGTAAGACTAACTTTCCCAACTGTCTGAATGTAACTCCGTGTACGGGGAAGAGTCTTGACTGGCTTAGATGGTACCCGGGATTTGGGACCCGGTGAGCTCTACTCCAGGAGTTTTCACAAAATCTAATGCAGAGACAGGAACCCAGCTGGCCCCTCCAAGCAGACTTGGGAAGGGGACCCACCCTGAGTTTAACGCCGGGAAGCCCAGGACCCAACTGCCTGATGGAGGTCAACCAATGAGGGAGGGGCAGGACCCCTGGCCGAGCTCTCTCTGTAGTGTAGCTTGGGGACTAAGTGTGGGGCCAGAGGGCACACAGGCACTGCGAGGTGAGAAAAAAAAAAATGCATTCTGGCGACGTGTGCAAGGAGAAGCAGACCTGCCTGGAGCCCAGGCTCCTGCCCTGGTTACTTGGCTGCCAATGGGGCAACTCTGAGAGCCACGCCACCCTTCCCAGGCCGGGAGGAGTCTGGGATGCAGCCCACGTCTCTGTGCTTCCCCCAGGTCAGCTGCAACCATAACTCAAGAACCGGTTTCCCTCATTCCAATCCTCTCTCCAGCCCTCTAGGAGAGGGGGCAGCACTATTTCCCAGGGTGGTACACTGTGACACCTCCACCCTCACTCCACCACTCAGTAAATAACCACCCAAACCAGACCCCTTATAGGAACAGAAGAATATCCAGCAATCAAAACTAGAAACATGTCCCATGACTTGGGGGATCTGTGGGGAGACACTGACTCAGGGACTTTTTGAAAACGACAAACATTCCCAGTTGCCTTCAATCTGTGTCCTTAACACCTCTCAGCCAGTCCGTCACGAACCCGGGAGGCCCAGCCTCACCTGCCCGGCTCAGCCGTGCCGGCCCTACTCGCACCAGCGCGCAGTCCACCGCCCGGGGGGACGCCGGAGCCGCGTCTGCAGGAACCCAACGGAGGGATCGGATCCGGGCGAGCTGGTGCCGCACAGCCCGCGGCTGCAAGAGCACCCAGGGTGTCCTCCAACTCTTTGCAGGAAACTTCACAGCCAAAAACGCGCAGCGACCTGAGCCACAGGGTTTTGTTTTCTGTGTTCAGAGGCAAGTTTATTTTGGTTTACAGCGGTGTCCTGTGACAGCGCAGCGAGTTTCTCTTCAGCCAAAGAAAAGAACAGAAGCCCTCTCCCAGTGAAACGGGACACCACGGTTCCCAGTGGCCCAGGGCCTTGGAGATAGAAGTTGCTGAAGCTCTCGGTTGGCTGGTGACAAAAGTGCCAGTCTGCAGGTGTGTTTGGGGAGGTGAGGAGGGGGCGTGCGAGGCCCAGAGGGCCCCTGGGCCTCCCACAGGAGAAACCGAGAAGAGGCAGGGAGGCAGCGGCTGGACGCGCGCCCAGGTCCGCGTCGCTGCGGACCGCGGAGCTGTGCAGAAGCGCGGCCTGGCGAGTGGCACAAGCCCGACAGCTGCGCCGCGCCGCGCCGCCCGCCCGCCTGCGCCTGGCCCAGAGCCCCACAAGAGTGCGAGGAGAGGATCGGCTTCGCGTGGAGCAGAGGCCGCGCGGCTGCATCGGACCTCACAGCCTCAGGTCTCGGCGTGAGACGAACTTTGCAAAGCGCTCACTCGCCAGGCACCGCCGGACCTCCAGCACTGTGCGCAGCGGGACCTCGGAGCCCATGCGCCGCTGGAAACGGAGCCCGGCGCGGGAAGACACTGGCTGGGGGGTCGTGGGGCAGGGATTTGGGATCCGCGGCTCCGCACCCCCGCACCTTCCCGCGCCGGCCCCGAACGCTCCCTCGGGGCGTTCCTGCCTAGTTGTCTCTCCTGACCTCTGCAGCCCGCTTGAGGTCGGGCGACCCTCTCTGCGGGTCACAAAACCTCGGCGCAAAAGTGGGGCTTTGGAGGCGGCACCATGCCGGAGCGCCCCGCGAGGCGGACTCCCTCTACCCCCACTGTGCCGGGCGGCGCAAACTGCGGGCACAGGCAGAGGAGCCGCGGCCCCGCGCGGGGCGGGAGCGGGAGCCGGAGCCCAGAGCCTCGCTAGGGCCTCCCAGCCGAGCGCACTCACCGTCGCTGAGGCAGAGCGCGGTCAGCACGAGGGCCAGTACGACCAAGACCTTGGCATTCATGGCGCTGGCGGGCGGACAGAGGAGCGCGAGACGCGGGCCGGACGCGGAGCGGGCGCTGTGGCTGATGGAGAGTGAAAGTGCGGCGGCGGGAGGCGCTTGCCGGGTGCTTTAGAGCCAGGCGGGGCGGGGCGCACTGCGAGGGGCGGGCCCGGAGCGGAGTCCTGGTTTGGGCCAGGGTATCTGAAGCGCGTCCCCCTCGGCGGCGCCCCCCGCCCTTCCTCTGCGCCCGCTGTGCTTCGGGGCTGCGGTGCGCTGCGGCCTTTGACCTTCTCCGGCCCCACTGGGACCCGGACCTCGGGGCCAGTCTGCAGTGAGTGGGCCCTGCACCGCGGGCCCGGGTGATGCCGGCTGGGGGGCCGCTTATTGTCCCTGTGACAGGGCCTCGCTGGAGAGACTGAGGCCCTTAAGCAGAAAGTGAGGCACGCGTGGAAAGCTGCAGGACCGGGCCTTTCGATGGCGGGAACTGAATGAGAACCAATGAAAAGTAAACAAGTTGATCCAGGGGCTGAGGGCTTGCTGCTGGCGGTGGCGGCCCAAGGCAGCCAAGGGGGTCCTGCTTTCTGTGTGTGGGGGCTCAGGCTCGCCCCCCGCCCGGCTCTAGGCAGAGTTCGGTCCAAGGAAAGGAGACCGGTCTTTGCATTCAGCGTGGCTCGGACTCCACGCCCACGGCGCCACCAGCCTATCCTCAGTTTCCTCGCCTGTACAGACAAAGCAGAAGGCACCAGCAGTCCTCAGTAAATGCGAATGTAGCCTTTGTTCCTCCGTCCTCTCAACTGTGAAATGGGCTGATCACAGGCCCAACCCGCGGAGTGGGACTGGGGGATTCAATGAGACCGGCTCCAGGCCTGGAAGCCCTCTGCATCGTGTCTGACAAGAAGTACTCAATAAATGGTCAATAAATGGAAGCTGAGAATAAGTCTTTTAAACCTATTTCCTGCCTGACCCAAGAAAAGTTCATCGAGACCCAAAGAGTTGAGAGAAAAACTCCCCCGCCCCGACCTCCGCCTCCTAGGACAGTGTTCCTGGCGTCTGCCTTTTGGGCCCTGAAAACTCTTCCCACGGAGCTGTTTGTCCGCGGTGCTCAGCCCTCCGGACACCCCCCGGACATCCCAGATGGCCCCAGTCCTGCAGCGAAAGGAGGGTGCGGGCCGGCACCCAGGAGGGGCGGGGGGGTGAAGACAACGCCCCTCTGTGCCTCACTTTGTGACCGTGGGCAGCCCTGGCCACCTCTCCGTGTCCTTCCCCGCACATCCTCCAGCGGAGTGGAGTCAGTCGCCGGGTCCATCTGGGGGGCCTGCCCTGGGGAGACGTTTCTGCCCTGGGGAGTCCTCGCCGTCGGGGAGTGGCCAGGCCTGGGGTCAGCTGATCTATTAGGCTAGGGCGGTCAACAGGAGGCCGCGAGGACTCTGGAACTCCAGTGGTGGAAATGGACGTCTTCTACGTTTTCTTTCTTTTTCAAAACCACTTTGACTGGCCGTTAGATAGATGGCTGTGGGCCAGCACTCATCCATCTATCTATCCATCCAATCCATCCATCCATCCATCCATGCATCCATCCACTCACCCACCCACTCTAGGCTTGGAGCCAGGAGCCCCACTGACTTGGTCCTTGCCCTTAAAGAACTGAAGGCAATGAGGTCCAGTGAAGAAGGCGGCCGTGGGCGTCCGCTGGTCTTTGCGGGCTAGGCGGGCGAGCCCTGCAGCGCACTGGCCGCAGCGCTGGGACTCCGGCGCCCTCTGGTGGCAGCGCCCCCCTCCCCGCTCCCGGAGCTCGGGCCTGCCCCATCCTCGCGAAGCCGATGATACCCAGGAGGGTGAGGGGGAGGAGCGCCCTGGAGCTCCGAGACCCGACCCCGCCAGAGCCACGTGCAGCCTCGCTCGCCCTTAAATCTGGCCAAAGCAAACGCTACTGCCTCTCGCTGCTTCTTCTTCTTTTTTTTTTTTTTTTTTTGCCAAGAAATCAGGTGGGCAGCTGGACCTAAGATTTGTCCCAGAAGCCTGAAAAAAGCTGAGTCGAGGGTGAACCAGGGCTTCAGGCCTGGCTACCGCCCCTCCGGCGGGCACCCCGCAACCCTGGAACAGAAGCTAGTGTGGCACTCATCGGGGCCATAGTTTCCCCTAGTCATTCATTAAATATTTACTGAGCACCCACTAAGTGCTAGACCTGGGCCACGTGTTTGAAGTACTTTGGTAATCCCACTAAACGTTTAGAAGCACACGGCACGAAGCATAGATAATTATGCACAAATTCTTAGAGGGCTATTAAACGCTAGGGGAAGATGGAGCAGAGGAAAGAGGGGTGGGATTTAGGATTTTAAGTAGGGTGGCCAAGACCCATATTTTAGGTACAAGCTTCACAGTTTTACAGTTGGCGATTGAAATTTAAAAACCTGTACCCTCTGGAGGCCTCCACACCAACCACAGACAGGCAGACCAGGCCATTTCCACAGGGCTCCAGCTCCAGCTCGGCCACAGGGCACCTCCCAAATTCCCACTGGGGAAGCTCTCCACCCTTTTCCCTGTGTCCTTTGCTTATGCTAATACTCAAAGGCTCCACCTTTCTTTCTCTGCCTGAGGACTCCTATTCCCCACAGAGCCCCACAATAACCCACCTTCTTCCTGAAGTCTTCAGACTCTGCAGCTCTGCTAGGGAATGCAAGGCACTGCCGCAAAGGCTTGCTAAGCGCTGTTCAAGGTGGGAGGCAGGGGTCTGGCTGCTGAGTTAAAAGGCCAGGCATCTCTTGGGCTGTGGCATGTGTGCTATGTCTCTACACTCCTGGGCAGCATCTGCCCACCCTCTTCTGCCGGGCCTCGGCTGTTCACTCCTTCAGGGCCCAATGGCTGGGCCTGCAGGAGAATCCCCAGCATGGATTGAAGATTTACACTAAATCAGTGTTGTACACTGTAATTGACAAGGTGACTTCAGATGGTACTCTGAAAGCATTATTGTTATAAAATATAGATTTATTTATTTATTATTTAAAGTAATAAGAAAAAATATAACCAGCACAGTAACGGCAGATATTTCAGATATTGCTCAGGATATATGGTTCAGGATTTAAAAAGTAAGTCAATTGGAACTAATATACATGTACTAGTCTTGGTGGCTGGAGACATAACCAAAATGTTGACAGTAATACAAATAGATCTGAAATTGGAAAACCCTGTCTACATGAAGAATATTTTTTTTGTATTGACATCCTCCCACCCCAGTCCCCCTTTTGAAATAAACATTTGGCCCCAAAGTGCTGAAACATAAAATCATACAAGGGAGGCAGGACATCTTCCTCGCTCACCTGCCAGGTGAGCCTGGGGAACACTGGTCAGGGAAGCTTAGGTCGTAGGAAGACTGTGGGGCCCTATGAGATCCCTGAACACCCTTGGCCCTGCCAACCCTCCAGGAGTGCTCCTCTCCCAGCTCCCATGAAGTCCTGGAGGAGCCCATGGGAGAAGGCTTCACCCCTCCCAGCCACCTACGTCTGCCTTCACCCCTTTGGCATCTGGCACTGGGGTTCGGGAGCAGGTGGCCTATTCCAGGAACCAGGAAGCCTAGTGAGAAAGACAAATGCTCAGCACCTTGCTGCTGTCATCTGTGCAGCAGATACACTAGCTGGCATGGTGGCTTTAGTCAGTGTAAAATCCCTTGGCCCAGAGAAGGCCCTTAGGAAGATACTGAACCATGTACTTACATAGGACTTCAGTTTGTTGTCTTTGAATTTGTCACATTTGGTACTTTCAAAGACCAAGCTTGCAGAATAAGCCCATCTGTCTCAGCTTTGAAGACATGGCACCCAAGGCTCAGAGTTGAGGGCCTTGGCCAACATGGCAGAGCCAGGTAGGAGCAAGGGTGTATTTCTCTGGGTCCAGCGTCTCTGGATCTTGGAACATCAGCCAGGCCCTGGAAGCATGCTTGGGGACATAAATCACTACCACGGCAGTCATCCAGGGAGCCTTTTGGAATCCTGTACCCAGTACCAGGACTTGACAGTTGACCAGCTGGCCATGTTTTCTTAACTAGATGCCCACTGGCCCCAACAGCCAGTTGCAAACAACCCCAGGCTGCCCTTGAGGGAGGGAACCCTGGGTCCCCGCTGGCTCTGGGCACATGTACAGGCAGGCAAGGCTCACCGTCAGGGAATGTGACTGTCTAGCAGGCCACGACTTCTGTCTGAGCAGGCCTTATCTAAAGACTCAGTTGCTGGACACTGCTGAGGCAGAGGGATCTGAGAATATAAGAATAACAAACTCAGTTTCTCCTTACTCTCACAACACAAAATACTTCTCTTATCTCACATGTGTGTAGGGGGTTTCCCCATATACAAAGCCAGGAGTCCTTCAGCTACAGAGAGCAGCTGTCTGTCCTCTAATTCAATTCAACTCTGAGACTATCTACCTAGAAGTAGGCTCAGACCCCACAGGTTGAGGCCTCAGTCCCATAAGGCTGCCCCCATTTCGGATACCAGTTGCAAGGCCTGGGTTGTTTTCCCCATGCTTCTGACCAAATGACCACAAATTAGGGTTTCTACGACCCCGTCCTAGGGTTTAATTTGCTACCACAGCTCACAGAACTCAGAGAAGCCCTTATGTTTACTGGTTTATTAAAATGGGTATTAAGAAGGCTACAGAGGAAGAGGTGCATAGGGTAAGGTGAGGGGGAAGGTAATAGGGTAAGGTGAGGGGGAAGGAGACATGAAGCCTCCATGCTCTCTCCGGGCACCATCCACCAGGAACCTCCGCTATTCTGAAGTCCTCTGAACCCTGTTATGTCTGTGAGAAGCTTCATTACATAGGCATGATCAATTACATCATTGACCACTGGTAATCCACTTAGCCTTCAGCCCTGTTTCCTTCCTCAGAGGCTGATGGGGTGGAGCTGTAAGTTCCTGCCTTCTAATCCTGCTTGGTCTTTCTGGTGATCAGCCCCTATCCCAAACTACCCAGGGGCTGCCAGCCATTAGCCAAGTAAACCCAAGATTTTAGGAATTGCATACCAGGACAAACACCAAATATATATTTCACAATAGCATAGTTGATATTTTCTGGGACATTCCCTGGGACCGGGACTACAGGGCTCATGTTCTAGGACAAATCAGACCCAAGGCTGCAAGGGTTCAGATCTGTGCCCCCAGTCC